CTTCTATGGCCTATTAATTTGTTACCATCTATTCTGCTTTGTTGATGAAATTTTAATTTTGCCCTTGCTTGAGCATATTGTAAGATTTGTATAAACTGCGGCTCACTGTGCTAACAGAAAGGCTCTTTTAGGATGAACAATTGGAGCTCATTTTATTTCTAGAGGACATTTAAAATAACTTATGAATGAGAGTTGTCAGACATGAAATGCTGTATTAATTAAATCTTATTCTAGTCTTTTTGCTTCTCCAGCTAAACTAACGCTTTAGAAAAAAATACATGGCCACCTTAATTATATAGGAGAAGACAAAAAGTATCCTTCACATTCCTTTGCCTGAATAAGTATAAGAACTCAATTCATCTAAATAATAACCCCATTAGCTGCTTAACTCAACAGTGTACATGGGAAAATTTTCAACACAGAATGTAAGAAAGTGTTGATTGGGTGGATCATTTTCAAGGGTTTGTTCTTCTGATGTTCAAAATGATAATTTTAAGTAAATCTGATCTGGCAAGGTTATCAGCTTTGCACATTTCCGACTTATGACAAAAGTGTGTGTTTATATACATGCTAATGCTTCTTTATCTTTTGAAATACAGCAACAGTACCATTCAAAAATAGATGACTTGATTGAAGAAACTGTTAAAGAAATTAGTTCACTTCTTGTTTCAAAGGTAAAACTATTTACATTTTAATTTATAATAAAGCAGAAAATTGTTGAACTTTGGAGATGTCTTTAAATATCACACAGTTTTTCAATACACAGTGAGATTTTGGGGGACAACAGTATGATTTTTAAATAACAGTCATGCAAATGATACTGAATTTACAAAATTAAATTTTGTAACTCATTAGGTACACAATTTCTGTGCAACCTGCTATTCAGATAAGTTTGTCTGTTGTATTTCTGTTATAGACAGGAACTTCTAGCAGCTACTAGAACTAGTAGGAATTAATTATGTAGATATTATCTTAAGAAAGACCATGTGTTATTTTTTGTTTAATTTTTTACATGAAAACTTTCTTCCTATCACTTAGTATTTAAATTTTGTATGTAGAGATGGACAACATCCAGAGTTGCAGTTTAACTTTTTAATAAGATTTTGTTCCACAAACCATTTAATTTAAAATATTTTATAAATTGTAGTTTCTTTAAATTGATTTTTTTTATATTTACTAAGAAAAAAATTCTTTGAGATGATATAGGGCCTTTGAAGAAAACTTAAACAATGTCTTGTGTTTCTGTAGCACCTCTTCTCCAGTAAAAGTCTTAAGTGCTTCATATAAAAGAAAATCCCTAATAGGTTGAAGACACAGAAAATAATGACAGAAAAGAAAGATTTTATAAGAAGTTTTGTTATCTATGCATTGCAAACTACCCAGAACTATGATTTTCAAAGTAGGACAAATAAGCCATACATTTACAATTTGAGTTAGTGACAAAAAATAAGACTCTGGTCCTATTTTCATCATTCCTTCGTTTTCACTTGTCACTGCTTGCTGGCGGGGGATGGGAGGAGCAGGAATCTGCTTTCAGATTGACACCCATCAATTGAAGAGGAAGGCTTTGTAGAATCATTGTAGAAATTTGAGCAAAATGTGTCCACTTACTGATAAGTGAAATTTTGATGTAAAAGTAACTACGAACAATTCAATTAAGAGAGTTTCAAGTTTTACATGCTGCCTGTCATTGCTGCGGACTAACCTTCCAATTTATAATTTTAGTTTTATTGAAGAGGGAGAGGAAGAAAGGGGAATTTAATCAGAGCAAATCATGCTATTAAAGGTTAAACCTTTTGATTTTTATCTTTTTTAATATCTGAGATTATAAAAGAAGGAAGAAAATAATCATATTCCTCCTGGATGTGTGTACAAGAAATTCTAGAGACGACTACTGTCAATACAGAGGGATTTGCATTATTGGTATCACATATAGTATTACCAGAGGTTAAAATCTCAGAACCGGAAGCATATATTCCATGTCATTGGCTGATCATTAGAAGTTTAACCAGTGTCTCCTCACTGGAGATGTGAAATGCCATGACATCCTGATTGCTTCTGTTTCAAGGCAGAAAACTTCTGAAGGTACAGTGGGACACTGATGTTTTACTCTTGGCTTTGGCCAGAAAAAATACACATCAATGTGCATGATAGCCATATGTGTTCATTTTTTGCATCTAATATATTTTCACTATTTTTTAGCCTTCACCTCTGTATTACTTCCTTTGTGTTCCAGTGGAATTAGTATTTCAATCATTGTTTTTAGCTGCAAGTCATTTATGAAAATGAAAATAGAACTTTCATTTCAATGCTGCTTTAATTGGTAAGGATTATACTGGACATTTTTTTGTACAAGGCTTACCAATCTAAAGCATTTAAAAAATCACTGTTAAAAACCAGTGAAACAAAGCACAGTGTGTTTTGGGGTAACCAATTCAGAGAATATGAGGCATGCACAGAAATGCTTTTAGAGCATCACAAGTCCATACACTGAGATCTTGGAAAACAAGCTTCCAGCGTCATAACTAAGCCTTTTGTTTAAACAGACATCCTTCATACTGCGATGTTTTGCTCTCTGTTATTTTGTGTCCCACTTGTATTGGAACCGTATGTTGGCACTGAGGACACCATGTGTTTTGTGAGATCAGCTTTTTCCATAGCAGGTCTTTGCACAACAAGATCGAACACTTTTCTGCAGAAAGAACCCAAGAATCCTTGCCAGTCAGATAAAATGAGTTAAAGTATGAACAGCAGCTTCTCACAAGAATGCAATAGCAAAACAGAAAGCTGTTTTGTAATAAAGGGGGTGCAGAAACAACTGCCACTCTCTCTCATGATGTAGATTTATTCTTTGATTGGCACCTATGTACTGGTGTCTTAATTAATCACTGTAAATATGACAGGTTGGATTGATAAATGACAAATGTAGGTTTGCACTTGCTCCTGCTCCTTGAACTGTTAAGAGCAGGGCTTATTGTAAAGTGATGATCTCAGTTCCTCTGGAAGTGACACTGTTGTGACACTGTTACAGTGCCCATTAACAGCATGCCAGATGGAATTTTGTTCTATCCTCACACTCATAAAATGATACTCATGGTTGTGGGAATGACTGTGTTGAGAGCAAGGGACAATTTTTAATACAATCTTTATATAAACTGAAAAGCAATTTATAAGTGTAAAAGAAATGTGCATGAATACAACAGCTGACAGAATTTTATGTTATAAAGCATTAATTACTTGAGCAACATAACATCACAGAGGGCACGCAAAGGGAATTTGTATGCTGATTTGGGGAAGTTTAACCATTAAAGCTATAATCCATGCAATTAGTTAGATTTTTTTTTTTGGTCAGCAATAAATTTTGGCAAAAACACCTCTTACTGAGGAATCACACTACTCAGAGAATCCCAGGTGGCAATAGATGGGAGAGAAACCATACCGTACCAGAGACTTTGAGTATACATTTTCTTGCCTCCTTCTTGGCCATGGAGTAGCAGCTCAACAGCATATGCTGTTGACAGAAAATTCTAGTGCTATTACACTGCTGGGTGAAATCAGAGCTGGGTTTCTATTCTACTTGCAAAGGTAAGGGAAACATGATATCAAGATCACCACCTTTAGCAATAGCGCTCTATTGTCTTTGGAGCTGTGATCTTAGAAACTATGGTCCTAAAAAATAACATGTAATTTCTACCCAAAGTACGTACTGGGTACACACACTGTTGTATTTAACCCCACGTTCTAGAGGCAGCAATGTTGCATTGGAATCAGGCCCACCTCAGCAGAAAATTTGGGTTGAGTTTCTATTTCTGCAGTGGTTCAGCAGCTTGATCAGTTGGTGAAGCTGCATAATGAAGGTTCTCCTTGATTTCAAAGCTTTGTGAAATGGAGAAAGTGATCAAATTTACAGTTTTCATTGCCCTGCTGAAGAATAAAAATATGAGGATGAAAAATTCCCATTCTCATTCCAAATACTTAATTTTTATACTGTGCATTTGGATTTCTCTCTGTGCTTTTCCTCCAGGTTGTTTCAGTATTGGAAGGTGTGCTGTCTAAATTGTCAAGATACGATGAAGGCACTTTCTTCTCATCATTAGTTTCGTTCACTGTAAGTGTTTGGATTCACAGTGTTTCTGTTCTTTCTGTGCATAATTCTGAAATTGTGTACAATCTGTAGTAATAAATACTTACTGTGTCTTTTATGCTTGATTTTCTAAAGGTGAAAGCAGCTGCAAAATATGTTGATGTTCCTGTAAGTAGAACATTTTTTAATTCATTTATTCTAGTGTTCATAATAATTCAAAAAGTAGAGGGGTTTTAGCTCACAATTTTTATTGTTGACATTTTGCTTTCCTACAGAGATTCATTATAGCTTTACACAGAGTATTTAAACAGTCACTACAACCCTGAGAGGGCATTTCATTCCCCTCGGGCAACGAGTAACTCTCAAAGCAAAGCTTGGAAAGGTTATTCTCAATGCACTTTTTCAGTTGTGGAAGAGTGAGGATTGTAACTTAGACAGTCTTTTGTAGGCTTCTTTCCATCATTTGGATAAATTGCAGTATAAGCAACAAGTAAAAGCATCATACTTGAATATCCATTATTTCTTGATTTGTTACTTCAGGACTCTGCTTATTTAACCTTTTGCTTGCTAAATCCCCATTTGATTTACCAGTGCTTATGCAATGGTTGTGTGGTTTAAATAAAAAATAAAAAGGGTAAATGCTGGAGCCCTCTTATAGATAGAAGCAAAATTCAGTTATTAAAATATTTTTATAGAGTATGATAATAGAATATCTTTTCTTTAAATAAGCAAAGAAAAAGTTATAAATATTGTCATTGTCACTGTTGTTATCCTTTGTTCTCTCAGAAGTCTGTGCTCTCATCTTTTTTTAATGCAATTCTAAAAAAATCTTATTTTCCAAGCATAACAAAAAAAAAAAAAAGACTAAAATTTTTACGTTAATGATCTTACAAAAAATTAAATTACAATGTAGAAGAGTGCCAGACATGCTAGACTGTGTGGTGGCCAGAAAAACTCTTAGCAGTTCTGTGCTGAAAAATACAATGCTTGCAAGCTGAAATGAATTTATTTTTTTAATCTGTGTGTGCTAAATGAAAGGAGAAATCTCTGTTTCGGGAATTTGTTATTTTGCTTTCAGTATGTTTGCTTTATTCATAAGATAAATTGTAATAATTCTGTTGTTTTCAGATGATGTTTTCAAATAATTTTTTTTTCTTATGTGGTTGCATGGGGTTTTTTAGCTTTATAAATGCTCTTGTGTTTTATAAAAAAGACAAAAGTAGGCTTAGTCTAGCATTTAAAGGAATGACCTCATATCAAATTCAGTTAATTTAGTATACCTCTTGTTAGTATATTGTGCTGTGGAGCTGCCCCAAAAGGTCCTTGGTGAGGCACTTAAGACTCAAAAACCTAAGAAAAAATTACTGAACAAACAAGAAATTCATAGACTTCTTTCAGCTAACATGGAAAACTCTCCAAATTACATAGGATATCTATGAGGAGGAGACATCAAAGTCTTTTACCATTGGCCTGCATATATTGACATTGAAGTTCGCAGTAAAGATGAGACTGAAAAATACCTTTGCCCCAAGCTCAGGGGAATATTGCACACAGGGATGCACTCACTGCTTCAGAAGGAGAGGTTGGCAGAGCGGGGAGATTGTTGCTGGGGCCCCATTACCCTTTTCACATTCACTGAATGGTGGTGCTTGGCTTGAAGAAATGACCAGATTGTAGACAGGCTGACAGTATCCTTGTATTGTTACAGTGTCTTCACTTTCCAGCTATCCCACACACCTTTCCCACAGCCCAAGATACAAACTGGACTATAGTTCCACAGTTGTAAACCAGAAGTGTGAACTGTACTTCTGTGAGGGTGTGGATCTGACCAGACAAACATTTTCCAAATTCTAGAGGACTTTTTATCTGGGTTGAAAGAGTTTTATAGGCTGTGGTTTGATTTTGCTTCCTCACATTCTTCTCCTTGTTGTGAAGATGTAGTTGAGGCCAAGAAGAGCCATTACTCTCGCAACTGACAGCGAGTGTCCAGTCTGAATAGCACCTAAAATCACCAGATGTCAAAGTAGAAAATTCCAGCTGCAAAAGGAAGCTCTAAGTCATCATGTCACAAGGTCATCACCTGTGCTCGCAGCTGAAGTGAGAAGTAGAGTGAGGGACAGCACAGAGGGAGGAATCTATGCTGAGTTCTTGGCAGTGTGATATTAACCTAGCAAGTCTGCACTGGAGCTAATTAAAAGCCTCATGTGCTTTTATTTTGACCTGATACAGTATTAAATCTCTTCTTGTCCCTCCTTACCATATAGCTGCATATATGGAAGTGACTTAAAAGTGACCACAGTAGGCCCTTTCTTTTGATGTAGTTACAAATATGTGCAGAACTGCACTGTGTTAGACAATGGAATTCTGCCCCTGTGCCCCACCTCCCTCCATTCAAAGATCTCACTTGGTCACCTTAGATCACCTGGTGCATCTAGGAGAGAAGGAGGCAGGGGCAGGGGCAGGCCTTTGGGGGTTTTTTGAGAGTGTGAGTTCAACAGAGTTTTTTATCTTTGATTACTAGGATTTGGCAAAGAGGGAAAAGTATACTGGCTTATAGTGAAATAAGAAGAAACTAAGTAGACCAAAGAGATCTTAGAAGAAAATTAAAGTAGTACTGAGCAGAATGTTTTAGAGAAGGGATAAGAGGTAAAGGAGATTTAAAAGTTAAAAGGTAAATAAAAATAGAAACACTGAAGAATGCAAAAAGAAGAAAGACATTCTTGAATGATACTTGGTCATTTTGAGGAAAAGGCAAATTCTATTGAGAGGGGGTTTAGACATCAAATAGTTGGGCATGAAAGTGCACGCTCCCTAGAAGGCATCTCTCAGCTGCTCAAGGCAAGGGTTGGAAAGATAGACACAGACTTGTGGTTCATTTGGCAGATATGTTTGTAAAAATGTTGCTGTCTACCCTTCCATTCATTAATCTTGCCAGAGAATTATGAATAATTCCATGCAAAAGGAAAAAAGGTGTTTTGGGGTATTTTTTTTCTAACTGTTTAAGAAAACACACAACATAAGCCTCCTTTTTTCAGAATGCCCTTTATGAAGTGGGACATATGCAGTCCCAAGGAGCTCTCATTGCTTTCCCCAGCCATTCATATGGGGCTATATGGGCACTGCATATGTTTTGGAAATTGAAATATCAACAGAAATACTAGCAACAGTGCAAAATTGCCCAGACTAAGAATAGTAACAACAATGGTGTCTTGTGATTTCCTAAAAATAATACTGGAAAAATCTAGTTGCTTTTACGCTCTTTTTATTGGTAATTGTCACAGTATGCTAGGCTCTGACATGGAATAAATTGTGTCTGTTGTGCATGTGAAAGAAACCAAGTGTTTGGAGGAAAATAACACAAATGTTACAAATATAAGTAGTGCATGAAGGATGACATTTGCTCTCTTGTTAATGCTATGTTTGGGGTGTTTGGTAATGCAGAAGCTGATTTGGGAAACTTTTTTTTAAACAACTCATCAAAATTTGCTATGACTCTGATAGTTTCTTTGAAAGTCCAAGCAATCCGTAGGAGATGTAGAATTACAACCTGTCTGATATTTTTCTTTTTAAAAAAATATTCTGTTCACAAAGACAATTAATTAATGAGAACAGGGAAAGAATGCAGTAGAATTAGAGGGAAAAAGTGTGTATTGTTATCTCAAATGATATCATTCCTTAATCATATAGATAATTTAATTGTGTTCAATTTCTCGTAATGTAAAGTTCTCATAATGTAAAGTTTTGCACTCAAATAATTATGTCTCTAGCTGGCCATTTTTACACACATTTGCCTCATATACAATACAACCAGAGCAATTACTCATACAAACTGAGCATCCAGTTACATGCTTTTTGTTTGGAGAGGTATGTTTAAATCCCTTTGTAGGAGCCAGTAATCTATGCCAGTCACTTAGAGGGCACAGAAGGAACCTAATCCTCCCTCACTTCATGTGGGCCACCTGTCATACCAAGTGGCAGAGAGGCCATTTGAAGGACCCAGGGCTGACAGCAGTGCATAGCTCGCACAATGCCAGCCCTCTGGCTCCGCTCTTGTCTTTATGTGGAGATCAAAGGTATGAAAAGGGGCCTCACACATGTGCCAGCATTTGACTTATGGGGTCCTGTAGAGGCCAAAGAAGGAACTCTGCCTCCTACCAGGCAGATACACATGGGGACCTTCCAGATACCTCCATTTCCAAATATCACACTTGTACTCCATGGCCTCATTTAGCTGGTTTTAAGAAGGAAATGGCATTTTGTTGGAAATGAGCATTTGTCCATGTGTGGCCATACTGTGCCAGGCATTTTTGAGCAGATTTTCTTGAAGAATTCTGTTTAGAAATTAAGAGCACATAACAGTCATTAACCTCATGCTCAGGTCTCCTTCTGCCTTCCTCCTCCTTCTCCTGTGTATACCAAGACCTGGGAACTGGCCCTTCTGTTTTCAGATCTGTAAAAACAGGGTATTGCAGAATTGGAGGGAAAGCCCTGCAGCATCTCTTTTAAGTCAGCAGTATTTTTGAGATATCTCCTAAATGGTGATCAGAAGGATGACTGCTAATCAGTAGGAAAGCTAAAATAGCATAGTAAAATATCACTTTTTTTGGAGAAAAAACATATTTAAATACCCGATTTTGTCGTAGGAACTGTAGCATTTTGAAGACCTTTTGCACTACAGAATCAAAGTCCTGGTGCAGACACTTGCATGCCTATGTTGCCCTGTGAATGCAATGAAACTATATGTATATGAAGAGGTGTTTGCTTTTTGTGTAAATGCTTGCAGAATCACAGTTTAAGTTCTGCATGGCAGTTTTCAAAATACACACATTTCCTCTTTGCCAAGGTTGCTTTTTCTTCTACAAGAAAATGTTTTAGAAAGAGAGAAAATGCATTGTATTCTTCCATTTAGCTAATTTTTTTTTCATAACCATGTGAGATTAAAATATTACCTCTATAATAGACTGATTATACAAATGATGCACCTTCTTGCCTGGCTTATGTGTTTTGTTTTGAAAGAAATGAAGGGGGTGATGATCTTGCTGTGGGTACAAGTAGTTTTATTCCAAAAATATTTTAATGATATTTTAATTCTGTTATTCCAAAGCCCAACTGATGAGCCTTGCAGTATTTAGAGAAGAAATTTCAGGCAGTGAAATTTTCCAACATGCTCTTCATTTAGTGGTGGACACTGAATAGGGAACTCCTGTGTTCCTCACAATAGCCCCCTCCAGCTCATCACTTCTTTTCATTTCATTGTTACATCCACTCTGTAGTTAAAATAACTCCCTCCAGGATGCAGGGGAGGGGAAAGAGGTGGAGAGCAAACACAAAATGGGATGAAGTTTGTTATCGTATAGTTAGTCTCTAACATCTGCTCTCATCCTAGAAACATTAATGCTTTGGCAGGATAGCAACTTGGTAAAACTAGTTGGGTTTTTTTTTGGTAATACAAGTTTGTTTAACACCCTCTGATGCTAAGAAATGTTCTGTGACAATGCCAAAGTGAGAATAAACATAACTGAAGTATTATAAATGTCCATGATTTTTACTGAGGTTTATACCAAACTATTGCATTGCAAAATGCTGTGCAGAAACTGAGGTGTACCTTTCCTGTAGGAAAATGCCTAATATTAGTGGCAGCATTAAGCCTGTTGCAAACCTTTCAGCAGCAAAATATTTGAATGCCTAGAAACCAAGGCAATGCAGCATTACTTTTCACTAGGTGCTTCAGGCTAGTTTTGAAGTGGGAGCCGTCTATGTCAATGATAAAACAGCTTCTACAACATCTTGGAAACTGAAATAATGTATTTTAACATTTGCCTCCTTGTTAAATAGACATTATATAGTGTTTTCCTGTTAAAAGGGAGAAAGTTAAGCTGTTTCTTCTTTATCTGAATTTGTTGCTATGAAAAAGTGCCTGTCAATCAGGACCTACCTACCAGTGAATAGTAAAAGAGACAACCCGCACCTGTGGGATTAGGTGCAGCAGCAGGAAGTAAGAGCACTTGCAGTATATAATTAACAAGGATTTTTAAATTTTTTTTCCTAAACAGCATGTTCATCTTGCCAGGTTAACTAGTGATTAACCCTAAAAAAGAATGTGCTGAAGCCTACACCCTTGTTTAAACTCATTCACTCACCAGTGTATTCAGTTACTTGTGTAACCAGCGACAAAGTAACCCTATTTACAACTCTTAATTTCCTGGTATTTTATTTGATCTCTTTGTGTTTCCAGTTTCTCTATTCATCTCTTTGTCTGGTTCTCTTTCATTTTCAGATAGGCAAAACATCTTGTCTGCTATTCTGAACAAAACAAACTTACAATAACTTTCTATCTATCATAAAAAACCACCTTTTTTCTTGGGGAAATTTTCAGACAAAATATCTTTTTTTATACTTATCTGGATAAATATACCAGGTTAAATTCTTCTCTCAAAGATGTGCAAATAATTCTCATTAACTTCACCAGATATTCTGCCAAAGATTCAGATAAGAATTTTTTTTAATATTGAGTATAGATGTGGAGACTAGAATACTTTAGTCTTTCCAATATTAGTAATCAAATGCCCCCTGTGACAGTTATCTAAAATATATCTCAGTTTCCATTTGTTTGTCTTTTAAGGTACATGAAATTTCTTAATTGTTGTTTGTTTGTTTAACTCTACATAAACTTGGGGTTTTTTCTGATGTTTAATAATCCAATACAGAGCAGTAGAGGATCATGTAATCAGATTTTTCTAACTAATATAAAATTCCTATTAAAAAAAAAGTTAAAGCATTGTGTACGCAGCAATAAAGATGTTTTGATGCATATAATAGCTTTCTTTTCTTCTTGGAGAAAACAAATAAATTGAATGCATGCGATATGCATGCAATAATGAAGTATTTGATGTACTGTTGGTTCATTCGATGTTTAACGTATGCTTTGCCCACTATGAGCAAAGACAGTTAACCCGCAGTGATTTTGGTGAGGTTTTAAAACAGAGTCATACTTTGGAGTATTGATAATCTACCTTACCCAGACTTATTTCTATTGTAGACAGACAGTGTTTAAAAGGAAAATTAATTTTTTTCCACAGCAATTTCAAAGAT